GACACAACATCCCGCCTTTTATCCCCGAAGGGATAGGCAGAGGTGCAAATTACGACACTTAATCCCATTGTACAATGTAACACCCACTTTTCTCTATTTATGTTATGAGTCCCATGTAAAAAGGGTTGAGCCTATTGCCATGTACCGGGCACAATTTCAGACTCCGTACTACTACTGAGATTTAAAAAAAGAGAGTAATACTCTTCCCGACCCGGAAATCGAATTCAAGACTCATTGCCCGGCAGTCGCACATGCGACCACTCGGCCAACAAAGCAGTCAACACGAAAACAATCGATAATGATTTAAAATTATTTCAAATCTGTTTTTATAATAACTATCGTGAGACATACTACGTATATTCACGTGAGTAACCCGCGATTTTTAGTTAATTATTTCAAATCGTTTTAAAACATCGATATTATCCGCCACAAGCCACATCCCCAGCAAGTTGCTACCAAGGGTTGTCACAATAACCACTCGAATCGACAGATGCGGTTATTTTTTATCTTGTTACTATTTTTTTATAATCCGCACTATCAATAAGGGGGATTCCATTGTGGTTACATTTTCTATGGTGATTATAATCTCCCCGATGATATTAATTCATAATCTGTCACTGAAGTTCATAGAAGGAGAATATTTATTAAGATTTTTTTATCTTACTTATTTCCCTGGCTCCCCAAACAGTACAACAACCACAGCGTTGTGTTTCGTCGTGTGAGTGAGGTTACTGGAAGCCCTATCCTCGCCCCCCCCCCCCCCACCAATGAATCTTCCAATCCTCAAATTTTTGATCCACAAGGCATTTGTAATCCCTCTAGTGTTGCGGGTGTCCTTGGGCGGAGCCGCTGGCTTACCATCAGGTGATCCGTCTGCTCGTTTTCTGGCCTATACCTTAGAAAAATCTCTTGCTTCCTTGCTACCTCCAGACACAACAATCATTCAAACGGCTATGGTGCAACGTGAAAGAAAGAAGCACAAACACATGAACAGCCTATAAATGTCCACTGCTGACCAAAGGCCTCTCACACGGAGAAGGTTTGACCATTAACCACCACGCTTGCTCAATGCGGGTTGGCGATTTCAAACTTATAATTAGAAGTTATAAGCCCAGGTTTCCTCACGATGTTTTCCTTCACCATTTGTCAGTGGTGTCAAGCTTTCGCATCTTACTTTAATATTATAAATGCTTTATGTGTTTGATTGTTTGTTTGTCTGTATGTTTGTTACTTAATCATGTCAACACGGCTAAAGGGATCATGATGAAATTTGTACCAGAGGCACATTATTGTCTAGAATAACACATAACATAACATCACGCCTTTTATCTCCGAAGGGCTAGGCAAAAGTGCACACTACGGCACTTAATGCCACTGTACACTGTAACACCCACTTTTCATTATTTATGTTATGAGTCCCATGTAATAGGGGGTGGGCCAAGCCATATACCGGGTACAATTCCAGACTCCGTGCTACTACTGAGACTTAAAAAAAACTTAGTAATACTTTGCCCGGCATGTGAATCGAACCCGCAATTGCGACCACTCGGCCAACGAGGCAGTCTGGAATAACACATAGGCATTTTACCCTACGGGAACGAAGGAAGCCGTGAGCAGAAGCTTGTTTATTAATAAGGATGTAAGCACTTCGCAGTTACAAATATGATGAAAATATCTTCATATACAAGTTAATTTAAACTTTTTAAGTTAAAACTTCAATGTAAAACTTTACACTTAACATTATAACTTAGAGAGAAGTACAGTTGGCTGTGAGTCCAAACTATACCCAGTATGATAATTAACCTAAACTTTAAATGTAATCTTCATATAGTTTTAATTTAACTCAAGTTTTCTATGTATGTGTCGTGTTTAGTGACGGCAGGGTAGAATTAATACATCTAGATTGCCGCCCGACCAGAACCAGGCCCGAACGTACGGCGCGTCGAATACCGCGCGCCCCTCAAAGAGCTATCAGACCACCACTGATGGGACCCAATAGGGCTGATGCCCGATACGGAGCCGCGGAAGGCCTAACGGATTGCCGTGGTTTCTGGCAGAAAGAGTGGTTTTTAGTCGGTAAGAGTCTGACATTCCCAAGGCGAGAGAAGTATTACATACCCTCGAAAAAAAAATAGACATTTGTCACCACCCTGACTCTTCCAGCGGGTATCACATACCCTAATCAAAGGACTACAAATTATATTTAACAAAAATCGATTGGAACGATCAAAACTACTAATTTGGTTGAGTGGTAGCGTAAGTGAGCGAATGACGAACTAAGTTTCTCGAGTTCGATTCCTGTATCGGACGAAGCATTGTTAACAATAACAGTTTTTGAAAATTATCAGTTAAAACTCGACAGCAAGCAGTCTTAAGATATGTGTTACAGGTGAAAAATGATTGTTACTCTTACACACACACACCTCTGCCTACCCCTCTAAGAAACACACACAAACTCAAACTCAAAAACCTACCATCACATAAATTACCGTATAAGGACTCAAAATTCAAAAAGATCAAAGAGCCGTTCAAATTACACACATCGCATAAAATATGTCATTAAAATATTTCCAGCAGATACTTCTCTCCCTACACCCTTTGCTTTATAAGTTCCCTTTTCCAAAAATTCTTCGAATTCCACTAAAACCCTTTTAATTTAATCACGGCAGGGCTGTCGATGTCAAAATTAGCTACGAACACATTTATTAAATAGGGTATATAGACTCATTTCTATTTCAATGTCCGTCTGGTAGATTATTTAAAATCATTACACACGTATTTTTTATTTTCTTACAGAAACGAATACTTTCGACGATATATTGATTTGAAATGTCGCGTGACGTCACTTCTATGTACGTTTTATACGTAAAAATGACGTTTTAGTCCCCACTCCTAAACTTTGATTCGTTTTATCTAATTATTATTTTATTATACGACAAAATAAAAAAATACGTGTCTAATATTTTTTTATTATCTAACTCACGGACTAATTTAATTTTTAATAGGAGACAGAACTATACTTAATCGCGACTTCAATTTCGTTGGCCGAAAGGTCAGGCAGTGTTACTGGGTTTTAAAAAAATTCTCAGTAGTAGCACGGAGTCTGGAAATGTGCCCGGTATATGGCAATAAGCTCACCTCCTATTACACGGGACTCATAACATAAATAGTGAAAAGTGGGTGTTACATTGTACAGTGGCATCATGTGCCGTAACATGCACCTTTGCCTACCCCTTCGGGGATAAAGGGTGTGATGTATATATATTAAGATTTAGTAGCTTTTCGGTATAACCAAAAAAATAAACACACAACTCCTCTATCTATAACAGTCGTTTAAAACATCCCAATCCATTTTGAAATCCTGTCAAGTGACATCTATAATGACTAGCCCTACTTTAACAACCCCCTGTACCTTCACGGCTGACTAGCAGGGGCGGGGTAGGCAATAGAAGTATGCATGTGTGAAATTACCAGTACTTAGGGACTATTGGCGTAGAAATAATGTTCTAGTAATGGTATGACTGTGTTAAAAATGTTATCTTGGGGTGAATTTGTTAATGGCTATGAATAGATTTAGATGTCCATTTTTACTACTGCTATTATACTGCACGGTTGGCGCGGTGGCTGGGTGTATCGCGGGTTCGATTCCCGCAGGGAACAACTCTTTGTGTGATCCATAAATTGTTGTCATGTGTATGTGAACTTGTATGTTTGTAAACGTACACACGACACAGGAGAAAATCCTAATGTGGGGCAAAGTTTTTTTAGAAAAAAAACCACAATTTTGATTGTGTGTGTGTGTGTAAGATCCAACTAGATTAAGAGCTATATTTCACCATCATCAGATTTCTAAAATATTTCAATAAAGAATGGGTATTTCAACCGACAGCAAAGACAGTTCTATCTACACCCGCGGAAAGAGAAGCGTAGCAACTTAGCTAGTACTTATTATATTGTAAATTGAAATGTACTACATACAATATGTCTGTCTATATGTATGTATGTATACACAATATTGTGGTAGGCAGTAACAAATGACAGTCGACGCGCAGATATTGAAGCTCGTATGGTGTAAATTAGAATTCATTGAGAGGAGGCCGTGTGTTACACCGTAGCGTAATGTTGATGTGTTAATTTGTAGGATAAATTGAAATATTGGCTGTACTATAACTTGTTGAATGTAAGTTTCGATGAATGTATATTATATATTCATTATTTGTAAAAAAGTAACTGTGTACGAAGATTTTGTTTCCAAGGTTTATTATCTTATTGTTGTGTATTCACGTATGTAGGTAGTGTACTTACCAGATTTTGAGAATGCGTATGTGAATTTGTACATTTCTTTATAAACGCTCTCACGATACAAGACACAAAATATTCAATAATAAGTAAGTAAGTATTAATATGTCAATCATCGAATGACTGCTCCCGCTTGGGTGCGGTGGGAGGGAGTGTCAGACTCTTACTAACTAAAAACCACCCCGTTCCTTCTCCTGCACATCGAGCCGGAGCCCCGGTTACCCGTTAGGTTCTCCGCGACAATAATATGTATATTAAGTTCAATAACTAGTTACAATTGTAAATAATAATTAATTGTGAAACAGGCCTTAGACATCCCTGAATACACTTCGGTGTGAGAGTAAGTCCTCTACAATAATGAACGGGCTCATTTTTCCACCCGCGCCGAGTCGCGACGAGACGTCGACAACCGCTCGCGCAAGTACTTACAATATTTACTGTATTCTCCTATTTAAATAACATGTTCCAGGTAAATTATTGTTATGTACTAACATAACATAACATAACGCCTTATATCCCCGACGGGGTCAAAACTAAAACATATAGTCCAGCTTTAACCAACTTTAAGTGCAGGAGAGCCATGCTTCGGCACTAATGGGCCGGCTCGACCAGAGTGATACCACGGCCTCGCAGAAAACTGACGTGAAACAACGCCCCAATTACCCCAAATAAAAACAATTATCAAATTCCTAATCCCGCAAAAGGCCGGTAACGCACTTGTAACGCCTTTTGTGTTCCAGGTGTCCATGGGCGACACCGATTGCTTACCATCAGGTGATCCGTCTGCTCGTTTACCGGCTTATTCCCTACAAAAAACTTAAACCACACTGGTTTTACCCTAAAACGGAGGGTTTAATATTAAACCCAAAAATTCACTTCACGCAGAGATTTCGTAACCGCAGTCTTTTTAAATACCGGTAAAGGGTTACCCTAACATGAGGTCAGCATTGTAATGAGATTAGGGAACCCCTAAATCTCGTATGAACGACAACTGTCACACGATGGAACCCTAACCTTGTAATTATTGCGAAAAAAATATACCTTATGGTACTTTTTGGGTTTTGACTGTATTATTTTTATGTATGGTATTAGGCACGTTCCTAGTTTAATAGGGACTTACAATGAATGAAATATTGAAGTTAAATTAATGTGCGAGACAGGCGGATCACCTGATGGTAAGCGATCAGCGTCGTCTTCCGTGGCGTCACCCATGGACACCTGCAACACCAGAGGAGTCACAGGTACGTTGCCGGCCTTTTAAAAAGGAATACGCTGTATTCTTGAAGGTCTGAAGGTCGTATCGGTTCGGAAATACCGCGGACGACAGATCATTCCACAGTTTTGCTGTGCGAGGCAGAAAGCTACGAGAGAAGCGCACATTTATAGACACTTCTTCAAGTTCTAGGACTGATTTTCTCATCATCATCAACAGTCTATAAGAGCCCACTGCTGAGCAAAGAATCTTCTCACACGGAGTTTCTTTTTTAAGATGGGAAAATCATTGAATGCTCCCACCTGGGTGAGGCGGGAGGGAGTGTCAGACTCTTACTGACTAAAAACCACCCCGTTCCTTCTCCTGCACGTCGAGCCGGAGCCCCGGTTACCCGTTAGGTTCTCCACGACTCCGAATCGAACACGGAGAAGGTTTGAGCATTAATCACGACGCTTGCTCAATGGGGGTTCGCACTGGACCATACACTACGTACATCTTACTAATATTATAAATAATGAAGTTTGTTTGTTTGTCTGTATGTTTGTTACCGAATTACGTCAAAATGGTTGAATGAATCGGGATGAAATTTGTAACAGGGGTAGATTATGGTTTGAAATAACATATTTATAGGCTTTTTTTTTAAGGGGGGAAATCATCAAATGACTGCTCCCGCCTGGGTGAGGCGGAAGGGAGTGTCAGACTCTTACTGACTAAAAACCACCCCGTTCCTTCTCCTGCACGTCGAGCCGGAGCCCCGGTTACCCGTTAGGTTCTCCGCGACATATTTATAGGCTATTAATTTCACAAGAACGCGGGCGAAGCCGCTGGTAGAAGTTAGTCATTACATATATCAAGTACACAATTTCAACATAAAAACCGGAAATGACGTCATCAATGAATGCAGAGACCATAAACAAATGCACAGAGCTTATGGACCGGGGATCAATGACTTCCGGTTCCCGCTGAGAGGACGACATTAGATAGGGTAGGGGGTTCGAATCTCGTCTTTTGTTATGTTAAAGAAAGTGGCTATTATTGTAGGAGAGGGATTAAAAAGATAGATGCTTGTATTTTGTGATTTAGTATTTGTGATTGTAATGTTTATGTGTTTTTGAGTGTTTTTAGACAAAATAGTCCAAAATCAAGTTCGCCGTTGTCTAGGAATAGTTCGTCAAGTAATCTAGTTACCGTGAAGCTAAATTCTAAATTACATGCCACGTGATTCAGTTTTAAAAAACTAAAAATTCTAATAACACTTTATTGGCTTATTGTGTAGTCTTTTTTATACTGTCTTCAAGGCCCGAGTGAATAGGTTGCTTATGGGACGACGTGCTCCATCGTAGACCGCATCATCGTGCACCACCAGGCGAGGCAGTGGGCAAACGTCGGCCCATCAAATAAAAAAGAAAATCGGTCACCATAAATATAACTGCAAAAATTCAATATAAAATTTAAATCCTATATTTGTCTTCTTCATCAACTTCATCTCATCTTATCTTCATCAACCGTCTATATTTTTTAAGTTTTCTATCTAAAATTACCCTCCCCTTCCCCAATCTCCCCAATTCCTAAATCCCAACGACCCTCAAACTCCTAATCTCCAAAAGGCCGGTAACGCACTTGTAACGCCTCTGGTGTTCCGGGTGTCCATGGGCGACGCCGATTGCTTACCATCAGGTGATCCGTCTGATCGTTTAACGACTTATGCTATAAAAAAAGCAAAACCGCATCAAACTCAGTTCAGCTAATTGCGAGATAATAGCTGACTAACATTTTCCGAGTTATATGTACTTTCTAAGATTATTTAGACACCACTGACAAACGGTGAAGGAAAACATCGTGAGGAAACCTGGGCTTATAATTTAATTTCTAATTTTAAGTATGTAATCGCCAACCCGCATTGAGCAAGCGTGGTGATTTATGCTCAAACCTTCTCCGTGTAAGAAGAGGCTTTGCTCAGCAAATATTGGCTCATACACTGTTGATGTAACATACACACAGGACAAATTGAGAGTCTCCTTCGTTTCTTTAGTTCGGTAAAACACTCCTCAAATGACATCGCGTACACAAAGAAGAAGGCGTAGTAAACATGTCATATTGCACGTGTGTACATATAGTACGAAGATTGTGTATGTATGTATATATGTATGTTTTGATACATTTTTCTGAGAACCGCAACACGGTCGCAGCGTTGTGCATAAATATTGATTGCATGTGTCCATTGCATGATGACGGATTTGACAGTGACATTTTATTTGCTAAACTAGCTACTTCCGCGCGGATTCACACGCTCTGCTCAGCTCTATTGGTCGTAGCGTGATGTTTTATAGCCCATAGCCATCCTCGATACCGATCCTTTGATTTGAATAATTCTTTTTGTGTTGGATAGTGCATTTCCAACACAAAAAGAATTATTCAAATCAGACTTGTAGTTACGGAGATTAGAGCGTTCAAACAAACAAACAAAAAAACAAACTCTTCCGCTTTATATAATAGTATAAGAGTATAAGATTAGTTATTATAATTATGCCTACCTGCCTCATGTGCCAAGTGGTCGCAAGTGCGACTGCCGGGCAAGGGGTCTCGGGTTCGATTCCGGGTTGGGCAAAGTATTACTGGGTTTTTCAAAAAATTCAAATTCACGGAGTCTGGAACTGTGTCCGGTATATGGCAATAGGCTCACCTCCTATTACATGGGACTCATAACATAAATAGTGAATAGTGGGTGTTACATTGTACAGTGGCATAATGTACACCTCTGCCTACCCCTTCGGGGATAAAAGACGTGATGTTATGTTATGTGTTAATTATTATATTTTCAGCTTACCCACGTAACTGTTTGACGAGGAACTCGACTAGTTTCAAGCCATGCTAGAATCACTACAAAGGGCGCATTGGGCCCGCACAACAAGGAAGGCCGTAGAGGCTATAAAACATCACACAACCACTAGAAGCCTAGTAGAGCGGGAGAAACCGCGCGTCTAACTAGTAAAATTATAATTGTCGTTCCGTCATCCAGCTTTACCGTATTGTGTCGTGAAACAATGTACACACACACTATAACGGAATGCCCGCCGCACGCCACTATGTGTCACGAGTAACTGCACGCCGTACGTGATGGGGGATAGGCAGAGAGGTAACACACTTCATAACTACTACTGTATTTATTAAACGACTTTATTACTTGACAAATAAGGTGCATAATAGAATGTTTATATTAATTTTGGTGATACACTTCTTGACTTTGTAATTGAAATATTTTAGGCTTAATATGTCCCACTTTATGCCAATTTATTATTTTACCCACGACTTCGTCCGCGTAGAATATGAATTTTAGGATATAATTAACTTTAGTCTTGTTTCAATTTTCCAATGTCAAAGTCAAAGCATTTATTTCAATTCAACTGTCAAACACCAAGCGGTCACCGGTGACCGCGACCTATTGTTCTTTAATTGTGTCTATAAAACCGGTACTCGACGAGTTAATGTATAATTTGGTACTTTTGAAACGTCAATAAATACAAAATATATAATAGTCTGTCAATTAGTCAAAATGAAAGTAGCCTATGTTACTCGTTAGTAAATCAGCTAACTGTCAATAAAAGTCCCGTAAAAACAGTCCAGCCATTCCAGAGATTAGTCAGTACAAACAGATAGACAAAAATTGAAAAAAAGAATATTTTGGTAGGTATGTGTATCGTATTATTGTATATTGCGTCACTGCGTGGGTGCCTACTGAAAATCAGTGCTGGGTGACTTGTATGGCTGGCTTACACTGAGTAGGTGACCTATTTAGCATAGGCATGTTGTCAGCGTCTCTTTTCTAATTCTTCTGTTTTAATTTTTCAACTCTTATATCTTTTATTACTTCCACTGTCACACCTTTATTATCTTTTTTATATTTTATTTATGCTGCATCCTGGTGCTAAATAAATGTTTTATCTTTCTTCTTTCTTTATATTATGTATATTCACATGCATGTAGTAAAAAGCGGTTATAACCTAAGAATTCCACTCCTTAGCAGTACGCACAAGGAAGCTTGATGCGAAGCGCTTCGTGGGTGTGGGTGGGACATCTACCATGAATCGGTGACTTTTTTCAAAACACTAGCAATTTTCTCACGAAAAACTAAATGATATTGATATTTAACCTACTTTACAGACGGAGAGGTTGTGTGTTGCAACCGTCAGAACGTGACAAAATTGCTTTTGAGCATATTTTGTTATTGTCTCCTGTTGCTGAGCGAAATTCGACCTTAACTACTGTGTTACTGATAGTATTCGAGGTCAATTTACAATGTGTGTAGTTTTCTTTGTTGTTTAATTCACATCGTTGTTTGTTATTGTATATTGTTACAATTGTTTAGTTGATAATGAAGTTATGTATGTAATATTACGACTTATGTACCTTTATGGTGTACGCAGAGGTGTATTGCACTAAAAGTTCGCTTTGACAGCACCTAAATCCCCCAAAAGGCTGGCAACACACTTGTAATGCATGTGGTGTTCTAAGTGTCCATGGACGCTGAT